CCAGGACGGCCGTCCTTCCCCTCATCTCCGTCCCTGTCCCAGGACGGCCGTCCTTCCCCTCATCTCCGTCCCTAACCCAGGACGGCCGTCCTTCCACTCATTCTCCAGTAGCTTAGGCTTGAGTGGAAAGAAGTACCTAAAGAAATGTCTGGGTTGAATCTGGGTGAGGGAAAATGGGGAGTGGTAGGCAATGGTTGACTGTTAAGAGGGGTTGCCCCAACACAGGAGTAGTGGGAGTCAGAAAGGTTGTGTCTCAGCCCGTTGTCCAGAGCTGAGTCAGCCAAGTGCAAAATAGACCCTTGAGGAATCCCAGTGAGAGGCTGCTGGCCGCCTTTTTACCTCACTGTTTCCGTGTGTTTGCACTCAGAGTCTTGTGAACATCATGTGCTGTTTCAGAGTCTTATCTATGTTTCCTGGTGGAATTTACTAAACCAATGAGCATTAAATTTTTTACAAAGCCTGTCTGTAAAGCTTAGGCAGCCTATTGTCTACATGTATCTTCCACTTAAATAAAATAAATCATTTCTTAACAAGAGCTTAGCAGATTTAAGAGCCATCAGTTTTTCTAAAGACATCAGCTGTGGTTAGTGTAGAAAGCGCTTGCCGCTCCCCTTTAGATAGAACATTCTATGTTGTGTTCTCAAAGGCATCAGCTCTGCAGTGTCAGCCTTCAGCCTTCAGAGCATGTGGGAGCTGTCTGGAAATACCGCTTGGGTGGTTGACACACTTGTGCGTGCACACTTAACAGATTCAGCCCACCCACCACTCAGAGGAAACTGGCAAATCCCAGGTGCAAGTGAAGGCCACACGCCTGAGTGGTGTGGGGAGTGCTGGTGGGACAGTGTCTTCCTTGAGTCCTGCCTCTGACCCCAAGAGATGCTGGGAGTGCTTCTTACAGCGACTTTGCACACTTTGTTTCTCAAAACTACATACACGTGAGTCCTTTGTGATCCTTAAAAGTGGTGGGGGAAGCTATTTACAGAAGGGTCTCACAGCTGTGAAATGGAGGAAAGGGATAGAGACCAATTTGCAGCCGTCAAGGTAACAATGAATATAGGCAAGGAGCATCAATAGATGGGAAGATTTTACAAATAGGACCATGTTATTTGCATGGTCTTCAAGTTTCGCTCCCCGGTGAAGGAGTAAGTACTACCCATCTTCGTGTGGAGGGAAGCCGGTGGACACTGCTCCAGCGATGGAGCGTTACCATACAGGACACGTGGCCAGTGGTGTGGAGCCTTGGGAAGCACACACTGTCCTGCCAGAATGCTTAACCCAGAACTTACATGAGGGAACGCCTCAGCAAATTTGGATTGTGGGATGTTCCTCAAGATTCCTGGACTCTTCAACAATGACAGTTAGCAAAAAACTGAGTAAGTTAATACTGTTCCAGAGTAAGGAGGCCTACAGAGACACAACAGCAGCATGCATGACCTGTGATGCCATCCTGGATTGGGAACGAGAAACAAAAGACGACGTCTGAAGTGCAGTCGGAGAAATTTGAATGTGGACCGCTTGTTAGAAAATAATTTCATTATTTCTTAGCTGTGATAATAGCATTGTGCTTGTGTAGAAGAATGTCCTTTTACTTAGGAAATGCTTGTTGAAGTATTTAGAGTAAATGTCATGACGCTTGCAACTTTTAGGTAGTTCAGAAAACTGTGTCTGTGTAAAGAGAGCGAGAGAGAGAAAGCGGGTGGGGCCAAGACTGGCCTTTTATGGATCCAGGTGAGAGCGCTGCAGGTGCTCACTGTGTTAGTCTGCAAACTTCTGTGGTTTAAATTTTTCTAAGTAAAAATTGTAGTGTAAATGATAAGCATTTATGATTGAAAGAAAAACAAGCATACAGCCAAGAACACACAGAGAAAAAGTAAAAATCACCCCAAATCCCCCTGTCCAGAGGTAACAGCATTTGACAATTTTGTGAGCCTCCTTCAGAGTATTGGTTCTCAGTGTATCTGTCTGTCACTGTATCCATATATCTTTTTTATATTTTTGTTTTGTTTTTGTTGTCCTCCTTTTTTCCCCTTTAATCTTTTTTTATTGAAGAATCCAGATCATTTGTCCTTTAGAACACATTGACCCCCGTCCTGGATTCGGCTAGTTGTGCCCTCACGGTGTTGACATGTTCCTGTTTCTCCCAGATGCCCTGTAAACTGACTGTGTGTAGACACGTGGTTGAATTTAGGTTCTAGGTTTTAGTTTTCAGGATTTTTGGCAAGAATACATGGTAGACTAAGGCTGTACTCTCTGTGTCCTACTGCATGACAGCTGTCTTCTTAAATACGTCAGAACTTTTACATGGCCTCAGAAGTATAAAGGTCCATTAAAGGCTGTCCAGCTTCCATCCCTCACCTGGAGGCAACAAATTTTTATGAGCTTTTGGGTTTTTCTCTTCACTATTTCTTATTGAAATGTGAGCAAATACGTTTATATTTTCACAGTTTCTTACATGAAAGCCTACCTTGGGTAGTTGTGTAAGACTCTATTATGTAAGATACTGCCGCAGTTCATCCGACCTGTCTTCTGCTGACAGACAGATCTGCTGTTCTACACGGTGCTGACGTGAATAGCCCTGTGCACGTATATCATTTTGTATTTTGTATCTTTGGATGAATTTCTAGAAATGCCATTCCTCAAGTGTGTATGTAATTTGGCTAGATATTACCAAATCCCGTGCTGTAGGGACTCGCGCTGGCAACGTCTGAGGGGTCCAGCACCTTCTTTGATGGTGGGCTGCAGACACAGCAGCCTTGGAGACTGAGAGTGAAGTGGACCTCCTTCAAGGGCTCCTTTCACTTCTTCTCTGTGTGTCCCTGGATGGATGACTTAGCCTCCCTGAACCTTGGTTTCCCCATCTGTCAAAGGAGGGTAATAGTTGTTTTGAGGAGTTGTGGAGATAATTGCAGAGCATAGTGTGTGGTGTGTGGTATGTGCTCCGTGACTGGGAACATTCTTGTTACAACTGCTGTGCTGAAAAATGAATCTGAGTGAGAATTTGTTGCCAAAGACAAGGAGATTCCCATTTTCTGCTCTCTGCTGGAATGGTGAGACTAAAAAGAGCAGAGGATTTTTGCTCTTTGGGTAGTGACCAGTTGAAAAGATAATTTAAATTTCCATTGCTTGTGTAAGTTTTCAGCTGCCTAATTAAGTCTTTGAAGTGATTCCTGGATCTGGCCTGGATTCGAATTTAGCTATCAGAAGGGACTGGGTGCTACTTGATCATTACTGCTTTCTGAGGCTAATAACCAAAGTTCTTAGGAAATATTTTGCAGCTTACGTACAAGTGAGTGCCTTGAGGGGTCACATTTAGAAGCATGCTTCACAGCTGTGCCTTCATTAGGCCTCACTTACAGGGATGGGTTTGGGGTAATAATTCAGATAAACTGGATTCATAAAACATGCTAGAAGTTTTCAGAATACTCATACATGACACAATCGATAATCACTGTGTATGTTTCTGGGCTAACCTGTAGATTCTGTCATTTTAGCAAAATGGGTTGTGGCTTCCTTACCAACCAGTTCTGTTGAACTTGCCCCCAAATCAAAATTTTTGACCATAAATGGATTTTAGTGGATCCCTGAGGCCCTTGAAATTGTATGCAGGATTATGTAGAGGGAGTGGGTGCACTAGGGGTGGGTGAACTCTTTGGGTTTACAGTAAATTATCAGACATATCCATGGCCCAAAAAAGATTCAGAAACTCAGTCCTAAACCATACTCTTTCTGTTTTGAAGGACGTTGCGGCTCGGGGCTTAGATCTCCCTCAAGTCACGTGGATTGTTCAGGTAATTTTTTAGTTGTTAAGACGTAAGCTTTAGGCGGGGATGTGTGATCATGAGTGGATACATTGGCTTTAAGTAGAATAATTATTACTACTCTCTTGGGTGTTGCCCTGGTAACCAAGCAGCAGACCAGTCTTATCTGCACACTTCTCCTGACATCCTTCCTTAACCCAGCCTGCCTAACCGCTGCAGCAAAACAGCCAGAATGTGCATCTGCAGGAGGGAGGTGGCAGGTACTCCTGCTCCCAGACTGATTCATGTCACAAACCAAAATTTCAGCCATCTGAAAATGAGAGGAATTACCTGGGCTCCTGGGAGGCCTCATTGTGTCCAGAAGGAGATGGCTCAGCTGTCCTGAGAGCTGTGTCCGTGCACATTGACCTGCAGGGAGCAATTAAGTTCTTGACAGCATCTTAGACATACCTCTAGCGTTAGACTCTTTGCCAGAGGGTACAGGTGTTAGCACTAGGGTCTCCTGGTTTTAGTTTTATTTTTTCTTTTCATTAGTCTGCAGAATGGTACTTTTAAGCCTTTGTGTGTGGGGGCCAAGGGACATGTGCCCTGTTTACATGAGTCGTGGTTTATTCACATTTTAATGGAATTGCATGCCTGTCAGTGGCTAGGAAACCTGATATGTTCGCCATAGACGATCACTTTGGGACCCTATAGGGGCATTGTGTCTTCTTTCCTCTTGGTCACAGAGTGAATTGAAGATAAAGCAATGGTAATTTTAATGTGTGGGAGGCCAGACATACAAAATTGATCATTTAGAGCTGCTTATATTGTGAATATAGATAAGTTTAATGTGCCTAGTCTTGGTCCTCGGATCTTGTTAGTATGCGCACGCATGTGGGGGTGACAGCAAAGAAAAGAGGAGGAATGAATATAGGATCAGTTAGTTTTAATGGCAACAATTATTGCCAAAGAAAACACAAAATGCTGTGCGTAATTCATTCTGCCGAGTTATGAGTCTGCCCTTTTGCCTGAATCAGAAATGCTGTCCGTGGGAGCAAAAGCAGGTCCCTACTTGCAAGGAACTTGCCCCTCCACTGGCTCACAGCTCTGCTCCACAGGGACCGAGTGGAACTGCAGGGAGGTGGTGGTGGGGACGGGCTCCAGGGCCTGCCCCTGGTGGCCAGCAGCAGAGCTGGACTCTGCAGACAGAGTAGTCAGCCTCCTTTGTCCCTACACCTCCTGGGGTCCTCTGCTGCCTCATTCCCACTGCTTTGTCTACTGAGGAAGTAGGCCAAGGTCCTGTGGTCATGCTGGAGAAATGCACCACCGCCTGCCTACGTTTTCACCTTGCATGGTCACCTTAGTGAAAAGATGCAAATACAAAAATGAAGAGACCTGTGGAGAAATAAAATTAAAAAGGAGATACTGGGATGAGAAGACATCTCGTTTATCTGAAACTTGGCCACTGTTCACATTTGCATGTCAGAGCCTTGTTATTTCCAATGAAGCCAGGAGTTTCAGGGTTGAGTGACTTCTCCTTGTGATTGTGCTAGGGTAACCATAGCACCAGGATTTAATTCTTAGGATACCTGGAGGCAGGTGAGGGGTATTGCACTTCCAATTAATGGCAATCCCTTGATCTATGAATGCCTTCATTTTTGTTACCCTTTTTAGTACAACGCTCCGTCTTCACCTGCAGAATACATCCATCGGATTGGAAGAACTGCCCGGATTGGCTGCCATGGGAGCAGCCTGCTCATTTTGGCTCCTTCGGAGGCAGAATATGTCAACTCGTTGGCTTCTCACAAAATCAAGTGAGTCAGAAACCTGAAAGTGGTTTCAGCTGATCTCACCTAATTAACTTTCTGTCGCTTTTTACAGTGGATGGGCCTTGTAAGCTGAAGAAGAGCCATTAACCCTTGTGATCCCTAAACGAGTCCCAGAATAGCCAGTGGCAAAAACTAAAACCCTTAATGCCATCAGCACATGACAATTGTCATTGCATTGCCAGACTAAGGCACAGGACGATCTGTGGCACTCGGTTTCTTTTTAGAAGTGTGTTTCGTTTCTCTTATTGTAAAATAATGTGCACAGCCCTCACAGCCTCTTAAAGACCTTTTTTTATTCACAACTTTTATTGCTTGCAATTAACATTTTGTATGTTCAAAGTTGATTTGTCTTTTAAAAAAATAAAAACAATACTTTTCGATCATGACGCAGTTCCCCTCCCCTAGGAAAATGAACGCAGACGGGAATGATTTTGAGGCACCCGTATTGTGTGTAGTACAGCGTTGGCACCTCACATGCCCCTCACATGCCCCTGGCTGCTGTGCTGCTCAATGGGAGGATTTTATTTCTTTTCTTTCCTTGCTCAGAACTCTCTCTCTCGCTAGTAAGACTTTTCAAAACTCTTTCAGGGTTGTTAGTGTGAAGATTTGTAGATTAAGGTTTACCCAGAAAATGTGCCGGGCATCCTTTAGTGCTATAAGGATTCTCACAGGCAGGAACCTGCTCTTGGTAGTAATTTCAGGTGGGCCAAAGTAAAGATAGTTTGGGTTTTCCTTTTATTCACTTTGTTCCTTATCTTAATATAATCTGTCACTTGAAAAAGTGGCTTTGTTTCAGGAAGACATGTGTATTGTATCTTAATTGTGAAGGAAATCTTCATGTAGGCCAACTAGTTAGTCACTTTCCATCTGGCACTATTCTCCAGCTGAACTCTGAGCCCCCGAGGCCGGTGGCCAGGCCTGCTCCTTGCAGCCTATTTAGCCTCTAGGCTGGCGCCATACCAGGCCAGTGCACTCCAGAAACACGAGGAAAGCTGGTTGGTAGAGCTGGTGCTCTCTCCTTCACTCACCCGGTTTTCACAGCTGGGAGCCCATCAAGGTGCTCTAGCTGGTTTTCTGCTCATGGGAATTTGTGTGCATGTGGAGAGCACTTTCAGAATTGTGTGTTGTGGCCTCATGATAGAAAATTTAGTCACTCTACCTCGACAGCCTGTCAGTTGCTCCACACTTTTCTTCTTCCTTGCATTCTAGGCCGACAAATCCGCTTTCTCCCATTGCTTCCCCTCAGCAGCTCTCCGGGCACTCTCCCTGCCCACTCACTTGGACATCCTCTTCTCCTTAGGAAAAGGAGCGGCAATAGTTACAGAGTCATGCAGTCATTGTCTGAGGCCAGAGTATACAACTTGGTGCCTCTGTCTCCACTCTCTTCAGTTTTTACTGTAAGAAACTCAAGTTGTTGCTGTGAAGCATTCAAATATAAATCTAAAGTTAAAGAGGGAAAGCAGGAATTACATAGACATGAACCATTCGTGTGCCCTGAATATTTTAAAGGTAAAACAAGGACAGTCATCTACTATGATGTTTTCTGGAAAATAGTATGCTAGCATTCATGTAAGATTCAGCACGATGTTTGCATTAAAAGAAGAGATCTCGTGAGTGCCAGGGACATGGACTTGGAGAACAAATTGAGAAGGGTGATTAAGTAGAGAAGTACTGAAGGAAGAGATTTAGGTCTTTGCAGGAGAGACTGACTATAGGTTGTTGTTAGAACATTTATGTGAGCAGAGAAGAGTCCTGTGTGGGTCCCACTTGCTGGTATCTGCCCTGAAAATTCCCCTGCTGAGGGGCCTAGCCCTGGACTGCTCCCTGCCCTACGGGCTAGGGGAAATGGACCTGGACCTGGACAGAGCAGGATGTGGGTCCTTGTTTTATGGCCACATATTATATACTTCCCCATTTCTGTTTGAGGGAAGGCTATACATTGGGTATCTGTGTATAAACTGTGTCCTTAACTGAATTAAAAAAAATTTATTAAGAACTGGTTGCGAACTATGCCATGGGAAGAAGCAGACTTGAGCCTTTTTAGAATCTAAAAGGTATACTTCTGAATATTTTTCAAAGGGAGAGTGGGAAGAAATGTGTATATGTTCTGTGCCTAAGAATGTGAGAGCCAGGCAGCAGGATGCGGTGTGGCTAACAAATTGCAGAGAAGATTTAGGAAGGCAGATGAGGCTCTTGCTGCAAGGACCATCACGACAAATTGCTGCCTGCCTTCACAGACCCAGTGCTGTGGAACTCACCCTGACAATTTAATTTAGCAGACTGGGCAAAAGACAGGTTTCCTAGGCCATGGCTGCCTCTGTCTGAAAGCTTAGAACTTTGCTTCTGTATCCTTTTGACTTCTTCATATTTGCCAACTCAACTTTTTTCTGCTTTTCCTTTAAATGTGTTCCTAATGAAAGTCATCACTGGTTTATTAAAATGTAAATGTTTCATCAAAACATGTATTTCTTAGATCAGGCATGAGACAGTTCCCTGAATTTATTTATCTCTTTCATACTAGGGTGGGGGTGATTCAGATCTGTTGATAGACCCATAAATAATCATAGTAGGTTTGCTTTGTTCCTCAGAAGTAACAATTTCTTGGAAGGAGGAAGAAGGCCCTTTTATACCTTAAATCAGTCTGGTTCATTCTTAATTCCTGTTCTCCTTAGGGTTAGGCCCTCATTGTGGCCATGTGGACACGTGGCATTGGAGTTGTGCCGTAGCTGGAATAGCAGTGCTTCTGGGCATTTGGAAAGACTGCCTTTCTGTGGCAGAACTAGTTTTTTATATTCCTGACGGCAAATGACATTATTCTTTTTCCTTCCTGCTTTGAGATTTGACTTCCAGGTTCTTACATTTCTTTTACTTTGTTATTAACCCCTCCCCCCTTTTTTTCCTTAAGAAAAAAGTGATGAATGGAGGCAAATGAGGTAGACAAAAAAAAGATAGGACTGGGCTGTTTTTACCTTCCTGAAGGTCTCCAGGCATAAATAAAAGGCAAGTTCAGTAGCCATTCATTCTTCTCTCATAGGGAAAACAGATTTCCCATGAACCCGTGGGTGCTCTCACTCTGACTCCGTCCTTTCAGCACATGCTCTGCCTGCTCTGATTGACTCTGGCTGCTGTAAAAAGACTTCGCATATCCATAGGGCTGTGAGTTGGCAGCAGAGAAGATGCTGAGGGTGGGGGCTGGGGGTGTTCAGGGAGGAGATGACACATCTCAGGTAAATCGCTGTAAAGATGTGACATTTTCATTCATGGCCTTGTCAGAGTAACTGTTGGGGGAAGGGGCATTGTCTTCTCCCACGTAAGGAGTTGCCATTCATGTTTTAATTTACTGTTACATTTTTTAAAACAACAACAACAACAACAAAAATACAATAAAATCATTTGTCTTTCTGTGATCTGTTTTTCTTCCCCAGAACTCCTCCTTCTCTTTCTTTCCTTTCTCCCTGGGAAGTATCTTCTCAGCAGCTCGTATTTCCTCCTTCATCTCTAACACACGAGTGTATCTGCTTCCCACACGTGAATGCCGTGGCCTTGCAGACGACTGGGTGGAGTGTAGGCTTCAGACTCCTCTGGCAGCAGGTCCAACTGTTTTGTTCTGGCTCCTGATGGCTTCTGTTCATGACTGAAGCCCAAATTCTGGTTTTAGCAATTTGCATGTAGCTCTAGCTTCATCATAGATCTTTTGGTCCTCACTCCTAATAATTAGGGGACAAGAATAGTAAAGATTCTCCAAGGCAGAAGTAGAGTAATATTGCTGAGGGTGGGGTCTTTGTTCCCTGTTACCCTGCACTGGGTGTTTGGATAGTTGTGGATATTTACCCACCTTTTTCTGCCTTAAAAAAAGTATAAAACTAAGACTCTATGAAATTTTTTTCATCATCTGTTCAAGTCAATGAGGCATACTTGTTTAGTATTCAAGATTTATTAAGAAATAATGACACAGTCTCTATAATGGAAATTGTAAATGTAACCTATTTTAAATTCATCAAGAAGCAAGGAAATTGTTGGGAATATTATTCCATCTATCCCTTTAATATGATAGACGTTCCCTCCTTTTGAATTCCTGAGGGTTTAGGGAAATGTTCCCTTTCCTGGGAAGGTGTCGCTTGTACTTGATGTGTCTAACTCGCTGGAGAATAGGCCAGTTTTATGCCTCAGGATTTTGGATCTTTTGAAAGAACAAAAAGTTTACCTTGATACAATCCCTTTCTATTACAGCATTTCAGAGATTAAGGTGGAAGATATTTTGTCTGTTCTGACAAGGGATGATTGTTTTCAAGGGAGACTGTGGAGAAACCAGGTAAGTCTTATTATTTATTGTGCATGCTGCTAAGAGATGTGACTCATTTCTTGATTTGGGATAGTAGAGATTGTGTGTGTGTCTCTGTGTTAGTTATTTCCTCTGTCAAACAAAATATATATTTTAAGGACCATGAACATTAGATGGAGCCCAATCTTGTGTTTTCTCTTCTTTCTTCTGGGCATGTTCGCTGGTCTCATCCGGTTAATGGGCTGCTCCCATTCTGGGAGTCTGCCAGACAGCAGCTACCTAGGAAGAAGGTCTAGGCCAGAATGAGTCTGACGGGTCTGGAACAGTATTACATGCTCAACCCTGGTGGTCCTTGTCCAGTTTAAGAGCAAGGACAACTCACTAGACCTGTCTATCTAAGACAGCATGGAAAAAATAAATGTTTCAGATATACTTAGTTCATTCATTTTTTTAATGTGTGTGTGCTATCCACAGAGGAAGAGTAAAGTTGAGATCATTAAGAAGAAAAATTTTTATTATCCATGCTGTTCCATATGGAGATTCTGAGCAGGTGCAGACAGCCCTGAACATCCTTTCCTTTCTCTTCTAAGGTGTCAGCCCCACTAGATAATCATTTCCCTACTCCACCCCAGCCCATTATTCAGTATATTGGGCACAAGTATGTGTCATGTTGCTGTATGTAGTTTTACCTATGAAATATTAATTACTTGAATATCTTACATTTGTTTTCTTGTGCCTGAAGATGGACTGGAAAATCAGAGCCAAATCAAGCTTAAGAGTTTCTTTTTCTAGTGTGTGCTTTTATTTGGGTTGATATTCTCCTTGATGCAGGGACAAAATTTGACTGACCCTGACTTAACTTTTCTTGTTCCAGACAGTATCTAAGAAATGTTTCTAATAAAAGGAGAGGAAATAATCATAACATCTATTACCTGAGTGTGTACTCTGGGACCTGGGACTATGCTAAGCTCTTTACACACATGATTCCATTTAATCCTCCTTGCAACCCTAGAAGGTAGATATTATCCCAATTTATAGACAGGGAAACTGAGACTTAAAGCTCTTCCATAGGGACACACTAATAATCATTTATCCTTCTAGAATTCAAAATCAGACAGTCTCACTTCAAAGCATGTGTACTTTGTCACTCTGGGTAGACTGCTGTGGCGTCATAGCTCACAGCAACCTCCAGCTTTGGGCTTAAGCGATTCTCTTGCCTCAGCCCCTGAGTAGCTGGGACTACAGGCGTCCACCACAGTGCCTGGCTATTTTTAGAGATGGGGTCTCGCTCTTGCTCAGATTGGTGAATTGCTTTTTAAATAAGGCATATTAGCCGTTCTCACAGAGGTTTAATTTAGCCAATAAATGGTACCACAACAGAGATCTCTGTGATCAAATAAGATGTTAAAGAGTCACGTAATCAATAATTGTTATATTATTTTAAGTAATAACAGTATTTCATTTCAAGTATCCAGGCCATGCTGGACTTGGCACCATCCTTTATTACAAGTTTGTTCGTCATCAGGAGAACTGGCAGGTGACCACACAGATCTTTACTGGTCTTGGCATACTTCTGTTTTTTTGGAACTATTGTAAATTCTAGTTAAGATTTTTTTTCTTTTTCTTTTTTTTAAATGTCCCACAGATAATTCATTAAAGGTTCCAGGACAGCTCTTTTGACATCAGCAAGGAGCATGTGGGGACGGTTTAAGGAGGCCTTGCTGCAGAGTGGCCGAGAGCCAGGGCCTTGGGTCAGACCCCTAATCTGTCACTTACTAGCTGTATGACTTTGGGCCAACATTAGACCTTTCCAAACCTCGGTTTCTTCGTGTGTGAAGTTGAGGTTATAATACTCTTCTCATAAGGAGATTGGCGAATTGTGTGAGAAGTAACCCTAAAGCCCCACTTACAATGTACAGCACCACGTGGTGTTGACTATTAGTATTATTATTATTATTATTATCTGTAGTCACATGAGTCAGTAGCAGATGTGCACTGAAAGCCCAGACTCAGTGGCGGGACCCAGGCCCCTATGTCTGCTGTATCATAGTAAGTGGATCATTGTCCTCTGCCTGCTCTACTGCTTGGAGAGCAACAGAATTACAAAATCAGACCGTAGAAGTTCGCTCACACCTAGTCGTAGGTATATGTTTTCTGGGACTGGCTTTGGTGTCAGTCTTTATGCCTAAGCCCAGATCATTTCTCTGCAGGGAGCTGATGATGGGTGTGTCTGAGCAGCTCCGAGAAGCTGTGGAAGGGCAGTGAGGCCCTCCTGAAAGACTTGTCCCCAAAAAGGAGTGGAGCAGCTGCATTTCTTCTGCTCTCAGCAATAAGCCACAGTCATTTTTTTTTAACATCTGTCCTTCTGTGGCTCTGCAGCACCAGTTCTTCTCCTTAAGGCTTTCCTCTGGCTTGAGGCCAGCCGTGAAGCCTTTCTGAGTCCTCAGGAGCCCTTCTAACACCCAGGGTAGGAGCCGGAGCCGGAGCCGGGTCAGACAGACGTGGGGCCTGCCTCGCCTCACACCTGATAGCTCTGCAACCCTGCACAGGTAATCTCCTCAGCCTCAGTTTTCCCATCTGTAAAATGAGGAGAACAAGAGTGCCCTCAGGAGATTGCTATGAGCTTGAAATAAAATGAGGCATGATATACTCTGCTCAGTTTCGAAGAAGACAACCCTGTCTTCTTCTCTCAGCTCATGCCCCTGCCATGGTGGAGAGGAATGAATTGAGAGCTTTGATGCAGCTAAGTGTTTAAGAAAAAATGCTGAGCGAGGTTGGGCTCTCACTGATACTGTTATAACTGGTTAACGTGGAAAGCTGAATTAACCATACTGGGTTCAGCGGTCATGTCCATAAAGACCTGGCTTGTTGGGCCACATTGAACTTTAACTCAAAGGAAAAAGAAAAACTAAGCTAAATAGGCTGTGTTACTAATTATTACATTACAGCCTGAGAAAGTGTTTTATGTGAGTAATCCATGTTAGTAAAAAGAGTAAAGTAGATGCTGGATACAACTTCTCATTCTCTTTTGCATAAGAAATACAGTATGTCTTAATTGCTGCTTTCAGTTTGGGAAAGTCTTGAGCATGTGAACGAACGCAAGGCAGAGGAATACAGGTTCCGGAGGTAGGCTTCTGTGGCATGTGGCAGACGCCTCGTTATAGCACCCTTCTTCACCTGCTTGATTGAAGTCCACTGTAAATGTCCCTTTGGCATATACATTCTTGGGCTTCTGTGAACAGAAAGAAAGCGAGTGAAGCATCTGTAAAATGTATATTTCATATTTAGGTATATAAAATATATATCGCTATGTCTGGGTGTGTGAATGTTCACCCACCTACAAAGAGAATAAATTTGATCTTTCAACTTTACTGAGAAGCACTCAGAAGGTTCTAGGGACCAAGGGGGTAAAACTCAGCATGGCAATAAAATGATTAAAACAAAATCATTTCATACACAAAAACCTTCCCTTATCATTGCTACCATCTAAAACTTTTTATAACAAAAATAATCTGGCCTAACAAAAATAATCTGACCTAGTTACCTTAGACTCATCTGCTGCTCCTTGAAAGGTGTGAAGCTTTATCATCAAAGCATACACCCAAGCATTTTCCTACAGGTTTTTTTCTTCCATGGAATATGCCCATAAACTGACCCTAACAAACTGTTGCTGCCATTGTGTGATATTAAAACAAGTTCAGAGCCCCTTGCTCATCCTTTTTCATGGTCTGTTCTTTCCAAGATCAGTAGGGTATACAAGACAAAGGTGTATTGAGTTTGGCTAGATGGTTGGAAATAGGTTTTCCAGAACTACCTGTGGTCCACTAGTTTGGCTTCATTAACCAGCTGTGGATCCAGGTGTTTGAGGGTGGGAGAGCCAGGCCTGCGAGGCCTGCAGGGACATTCAGAGACACTCAGGGCTCCACCCTACAGCGGGTGAGGAGCCTGTGACCGTCTGGGGCTAACATGGTGCTACCTGACTCAGCCCCTCTGTTTTCAGCTCGAATGCAAATGGTCCTCCCCAGAAGAAAACCAAAAATACCTCATTCATTCTCAAGAGGGGCAATTTAAAAGTAAAGTATTTCTGAAAATGCAGAGTACCAAGGAGTAAAAGATGGTTTCTCTGAGCACTATTATATTTTCTGCCATTAACTTTTTCTTACATTTTACTAAAACTGACCTTATAATTTGAAACATGTGAACTTAGTTTTATAATTTTTTCTACCTATTTCACTTGTGTACACGCTCACATTATATATATGTAATTTTTTTTGGGGGGGGGGCTAGTTGGGAAGAAAAGATGCCTCATTTTGAAACCTAAAGGGGAGAATAAGAAAAGCCCTTTGTAATATATTGCCATATTATCACTAAATCCCCTGACAGTTGTGACACAGAAGCAAGTCACCTGTCACTTAAGCTTGAGGTCTCTTTAATTTTCTCCTGGAATTCGCACCAGGCTGTCTTTAATTTGAGGCCTTTATTGGAATTCTGAAACCTCTCTGCCTCCCTGGCTCTCAGATCTATTCTGAGCGCTGTTACAGAATGTATACAATAACCAACAGAGGGATTCGGAGAGGGCTGGAGCTCTGTTTATTTAACACTCTAGAGGGATTTTTGTGCTTATTCGGTCCTGGCTGCCCGGCTTTCAATATCGCTTTGACAACCATTCTGCCCTTCTCATTAATTTTAAACAGTTAAAACACAGGAAAAAGAGGAAAAAGTTTTCATTATTAAAGTGCTTTACTTTTTAATAACAGAGGATTCTGTCCGCCAGGGGAAAGGGCATCCTCGCTAATTTCACATTCATATTAAAAAAAAAAAAAAACGCAGAGAAGGTGACAGTTGCACTGCTGAGGTGGCTTAACGAAAGGAGGGCAGCAAAAAAAAGTTTGCATTTCACATCAGTTAAGAGGGTAAAAAAAATCCTTGTTAATGACAATAGCAAATGTCCACTTTGGTAACACAGATCCTGAGTGACTTTTCTCTTGACATTTTAGCAGATAGAACCCTTGGGGGACCTTGTACTGTGAAATCAGCTAGCCTGTCATCAACCAAACTGGTAGCAAGAATGATTTGACTAAACCAAAAACATTTTCAGGTTGTTAAGTCTCTATTAATATAGAGATGAATGTCGATCCAAAAAATGGGACTTTTTATTCTCTCTCCTTTGTTCTTCCTCTGTCAGTCTGAAAAGTGAAAGAGAGGCTGGGAGAGTCTCGGTGAGGCCAGACGCAGGCGCTCACACGCTGTCCTCTGCAAGGTTAAGAAGCATGACCCAGGCCTCAAGCTGGGTCTGCCCCCGGTCCACGTTGTGGGGGTGGTAGAGGCAGAGGCTTAGCAGCACCACTCAGATGGGCAGCGTCCTTGGCACATTGGCCTCATGGGGTTAGAGCATCTCTGCTCTCTTAGATCTCATTTCACACTCAATAGAAAGCATTCAAGTTTGTTTTAAGATACAGGAAATAAAAACCACTAGATTTTTAGTGGGGATATTTAAGAAGGAAATTTTTTTTTTCTGGGACTATTAAAGGAAGAAAAGGAAACAATTATATGTCTTATTAACATTTTCCATCTGTAGGGACTTTCAGTGCACACAGATGTTACTTTTTATAATGGGATGGTTTGCTGCAAAGATGGAGGAGACCTTTGAATGTGATTGTGGAATAGCCCACTGCTTAACAGGTTCCTGGGAACTCAGCACAGTGGTTACCGGCTGAAGGAATGAAATACTCTGAAATAACTGCAAAGTCTGAACCTCTCTGGGAATTGGGGAAGCCTGCTCCGAGGTTCAAGGATGGGGCAGCTTTTAAAGGCAGAATTTTAGGCAGGTTACTGTGGAAAGCTCTTAGAGAGGAATTGTTAGTGTTCCACTGATGAGTGTTAGGGAAAGGAGAAGATCCGTTTAAGAATGACTTATGTTCAATGATGTTTTAAATGTCTGAATTGGACTTGGAAATTTCCAAAGTGTCTCCAATGGTCTTTGATTTTGAGCATGCATGAGAAGAGGTCAGGAAGGAAAGTAAATAAGTAAGTAAATAAATAAGTAAAGGGACCTGATCTGCTCCTCACAGAGCCACCATCATCTTTGCTTGACTTTCACATCTTCATAGCTCCCTTTCTTTCCCTAGTAATATCGAAAGGATTACCCTTGTTGGCCCCTAGGTGGTTACTATGTGATTTTACTGTTATTAAGTCTATTATAAACTGATTCATTATTCCTGACTCTGACTCTGTCTCTGCTTTAATCCTTCCACCACCCCCCCAGAAATCCCATGCTGTTGGCCCCCAGCACATCCGAGAGCAAGCCACGGTCTTGCAGACGATATTTGAAGATTATGTGCACTCCAGTGAGAAGAGGGTCTCCTGGGCAAAGAAAGGTCAGTGGATTTCATAGGTGCATGTGGAACGGGTATCCCAGCACCTTCACCCACGCACCCCCAGGCAGGATGAGAGGACAACTGGCGATCTCTGCTCACAAGCCAAAGCCTTCAATCTCCATAATTCTAAAGGGTTCCGAAGCAGGCACGGAAGGCTTTAAAGTGATATTAAATGTTAATTTCATCCTTCCCCATGTTTTGCACAAATGAGGCTTTATGTTGGCTTCTATCAGGACTAGAGCTTTGACCCAACAACTTGGATCTTAGGCATCTGATTTTCTGTTTCTTTGGAAAAGAGAAGAGATGTGACACGTCAGTAGAAATAATTACATACATGGAAATTAGAGATGAAGGTAGGGGCTAGAAATACTAGACCTGAGCAGTTCCAATTTGAAGGTACAAAGAAAAATGAGAAAGAACAGTAGTGAGGGTGGGCTATAGACCATGAACTCAATTCCTAGGAAATTTGTAAAAGAGTTAGGTATTGATGTAATATTCAGGTCCTTTGTAGAATAAATTGGCTCCTGGGATAACCAGACATTAGGTGTGGGCTTAGCAGTTCACTCTGAACAGTGAGTGCTGCTAGGGGGTGGGGGCCAGGGGCTCATGGTAGCTGTTCATACGGGAATGTCTCGGCTGGTGACTGGCTCGGTACTAGTGAGACTTACTTCATGTTGGAGGACCCACAGTTCTTGTCAGTGACCTGCTGTTTTGAAAAAAAATCCCAATCTATCTTATTTATGTAGGAACACTGTAGCATTCTTTTTATTTAAAATCATTCAGTCAGCAAGTGTTTATTGAATTGGGCACTGTCCTGAGTGCTTGGAATACATGTGGTCAGAACAAAAAGCTGCTCACCTTTGTGCAGTGGAGGATGAGAGCAGCGAACAGTGAGCAAATAAACATAATATGCAGGTGGTCTACTAAAAAGTGATAGATCTGTGAAAAACAGAGCGAGACAAGGGCAGCGCAGGGGCTGACAGAGCAGCGTGTGTTTTAAGTAGGTGGTCGGAGTGGAGTGCACTGTGCAGGGGGGGCTTGGGTTTTCTTCCGAGTGAAGCGAGAGCCCTTGGAGGGCCTTGAGCAGAGATGTGGTGTCTGGCAAAGGTTTGAAAAAGGCCTCCTGGCCGCTGTGTGGGAGTACACTGGGGGCAGGGGCCAAAGCTGCATGGCTGGTTTGGGGAAGCGGTGGTCACCAGGAAATAGACAATAAAAACAGGTTAGTCAGCGAATATTTTCAAGTACCTGTTCCATGCCTTTAGCATGTTACAAGAACAATCCTTGGTTGCCATCATAAAACTCAAATAAATCAAGACTCCACAGTAGGAAGTCCCATTAGTTGCCACGGTACATACTGTCCATACACTGTATATCCTGCTAAACTTTTCACTGATAATCTTATCTCAGCATTTCCCTAAAGTGAATTCAGGAGTTCCTAAGGGTTTCCCT